AATTAGTTCCTTAATAAAGTCGGTTCAACCGACTTGCTAAGTGTTTCTCGTTTCCAGCTCAAAATATTAATGTGATGTCCCGTTTTCAGCTCAGGATGTTATGGTCCACTGAAGAAAAGAAAAAGGGAGGAGGGTGGTGGGGGGGGGGGGGGGGGGGGGAGGGGATAAAGGACTTACGAAAAAATAATAACATATTGAGTAGCTAACAAATATAATAATGTATTAAAAATAAAATGATTCATATACACAAAAGTGTACAAGGATAGCTTCTATACATGTACAGAGGCGGGGCCACAGCTTAGCATACAAAACTATCCGGGAGATGGTGTGGGGGGAGGGGGAGTGGCTTCCTCTAAGACTGGAGGGTTCTCGTGAAATCTAGGCTTCAGATTCTGTCACACTCTCCCACCCCCTTCCAAATACGGCTATCCAAACGATATAGTTATTAGACCAAGAACATTTGTGATAAACGGATCATTTTTCACGCCTTCATGTGCTTTGGACATACACGGCTAGACCTATAATATATAGAACTTTCGGCGCTCGGTGGCCTGATGTGGTTAACATTACGCTGCCAACCTTTACTTCCCATTTATTTACCTGGTACCCATTTTAGTCTTTGAGTCCCAGTGGGTTCATTATCGGAGGCCCAAAGGTAAAGACATAAAATCTACGCATCTTGCTTTCATTGGGGTTCTAGATAGGAACCTATGAACATATGATGCGTTCCTTGGGACTGAAAGAATTAAAGCTAGGTCGACCTGGGAACCAATATGTTTTTGAAACAAGAAAAAGTCCCGTTTCGTCAGGACCTAAACCCACGACCTTCGGATCCGCAGGTGAGTATCTTGCCACTACACCCAACCTATATGATTACCATTAGTAAAATGACGCAGACCAGTTCACAAATAAAAACAGCTTCAGTAAACGACCTTGCTGATGTCACTTCGACCCGCGCACGCGCCTTACTAGAGTATCTGTTGTGTATGCATTTACCACAGCCTGCACGACAAAGTCAGCTCTTAAATGAGAAATAAATAATCACCGCAACCTTGTCAACAAAGAGCACATTTTCAAATCCAGCTTCCCCTGACAGTTTTTGCCAGTTTGAAATTAGTTCATTATCTGCATTGTCCCGGTGTGTGCTGTAGGCCGGACATGTATTTCGACGTAAATTGTGATGGGTGTTTTCTTTGCCTCCATTCCGACTTACGTTTGCATATTTGTTACGTCACTCCAGGGGCGTCGCGGCAAAGAAAATATTTAGGGGCCTTCCTCTTATAACTTTGCGCAGGAAAGTGGACAAATTGAGCAAAATTCTTGTTTAAGTGTGCGGTAAGAATAATAATAATGTAAGTAAAGTAAAGATCCTTTTTCACGCGCGTCGGCCATACGGGAAGAGCACCCATATTTTTGCTGACCAATCGGCAATATGTGGGTAATGTGGTCAGCATTACGCCAGCCGTCTTTACTTCCACAGGACAGCCATCCTGGTACAAATTTTAGGCTGGGTCAACCTGCGACGCCCAATACCATGATAAAAATCCACGCAGCCAGCTGTGGGTTTCGGTCGCGGTACGTTGGAATTAGGAGTCGGACTCGCAACGCCTGAGCCACGGACACCGCTAATAACAATGTACTGAATGGTAAATACATAAGACAATTGTACAATAAATAGAGGCTTTACTGTAATATATTTGAAATAACAATGACATGTTCAAACAAACAGAATACTCAAATAGAGAGCTTCATATGTGGTTAGGGGACTAACGCAGTCCTTAAAAGAAAGAAAAAAATTGGCCTTTGAGCTGAAGTGCTACAGAAGGATCAGCAGAATACCAAGAACAAAGAAAAACTGACGTCATAAAAGATCGAAACGTTAAGAATATTCACTAGTAGATAGTAGATTTTTACCCCACCAGGACATCACACAAACGATAAACACCCGATGACACAAAGTGCCACCATGTGGTTGAGGATCACCCATGGAGAGGTCCCATAAACCACTAGACCATATTTATTGCCTGGGCTATATTGTGGCCCCCGGCAAGAGCCAGAAAAGGGCTTCAAATAACGAAAATTGCGTCTCACAAAGAGATGACTAGATTTACAGTAGATAGTACTTATTTTGGCCATAGCAAGCAAAACTGTAAACTGGAAAAAGTAATAACAAAAGGCGTGGTAGCAAGAAAGAGGGACAGGGGCAGACTAGCACGAAAAAGGTCACTTTTTATTAGTGAAAACTTGAGTAGGAAAGTGCTAGGGGCGAGAGATTTGGAGAGAGACCGAGTTTTCTTTAGATATATCGCTTTGCAGAGCGACGTTCTGCAAAGGACCTGATACACGATGATGATGGGAGACAACCCTGTTATAAATTTTCTTGGAGGAAAGAAGGGCGACAAAGCTCACCCCCAAAAGTTGGGGGGGGGGGGTCTAAATGTGCAAGAGCCCATAGATTTCGGCGCCCTTGAGTCAGTCTCCAATGCTCACATCGATTTTTTGGCTGTCTTGGTAAACAAGATAATAACAAACGAAATCTGCAGCGAAACAATAACAGCTTCGTTTTTGGACAAGAGAACACGTCAACGAGATCGAAAACAGACATAACAAGTGGAAAGTTATTAGGGTGTTTTGGTATAAGATGGGTCCAGCGATATTTGTAGAATGTCATGTTATCATAATCGACGTCATTGAACATTGGACGTTCCCTTGCATGCTCAGTCACCCGATGCAGCAATGACTGCAAGGTGCTTTTACAAGGGTGACACTGGGCTAATGGACGGTACGTCCCTGGTCCCTTTCCCAGAGCAAGGGCATTACTGTGGTGACCCTCAACATAGCCTCACTGTTGTATTGGATTACCATGGTTAAACATTTTCATGAACTTTATCCTCCCCTTAGCCCCATTTGTAGGGGGGGGGGGGATAGAGCTGCTTCCTCTCTAACAAGCGTGTTGTAAAAATCGACTAACCAAGGATGAGTTGAGCTGAGTCAAGAATTGATATCACAGCACTCGTGGCATTTCCATGCATGCTCCGTCCTCATCTTAAGCAGCCAGCGCAGAGTTCCAATACTGATGGTACCTGTCACAATCTGGTTAAAAGTCCGTCTTGCCAGTCCTATGAGTGTAGTGAGCCGGCCAGACCCTCTGGTTACACCCAGGTGCCTGATTCTCTCCAGGCCATAATAATCTTCTTTCTCTAACCAGGGATGTCCCCTTCGAAGTCGGAGTGCGTCTGATAGAGAGGCGAGGAACCAACAGTCTGCATATAAGTAAACCAGCTCTGTAAAATAAATGTGTACGCAACAAGACCGAAAATCAGAGGTGGACGAACAACCAGAACTTTCAGCCGGAGTTTACAGCCCGTGATGAAGAAGACAAACCATTTATATGATGAAAAAGAAACAAACAAGATTTACCAAACATGAAATCATTGTGAAGACGACATCTAACAGACTGACTGATATGACTGATTGTGATACAGATATTTTAAACACGGTCTTTTAGGCATTTGAGACGATATGTGACTGAATCTATCTATCTATCTTCTTTTAAACCACCAGGACAACACACAAGCGATAAACATCCGATGACACAAAGTGCCACCATGTGGTTGAGGATCACCCATGGAGAGGTCCCAGAAACCGCGATCAGCCACTGGGCCATATGTATGGCCTGACTATATTGCGACCCCTGGCAAGAGCCAGAGTAGGGCTTCAAATAACGAAACATTGCATCCCACAAGGGGGCGACTAAATATACATATGTGACTGAATGATTTATATGCCGTGTTCCAGGACCCATTTGTGGAGTAAACAAAAATAGAATAGATTAATTGGGAGCTTCCTTCGAAGTCGGAGTGCATCTGCCTGAGAGGCAATAAACCAACAGTCTACGTACAGATAAGTCAGATCTGTAAAACAGATGTGCATGCCGCATGAACTCGGTTTCTGGACAAAGACCTAAGTCCAGAGGTGGACCAATACCGTCTCCATCTGACAGATGGAGATGGTCTTGGATGGACGAACAGTCTGAACATTCCGCCATAATTTACAGCTAGTGAACGCGAAGAATAAAAACGAGAATATCTTCTTCTTCTTTTTTCGTTCGCTTGAAATAAACTAGACATATCTACAATGTTGTAGAAACAAGAATACTGTTGGTTAGTTACAAGATATTAAATTAAAACAATATCTCTATCATCATGTAGCAAGTCGTTTGCAGAACGTCGCTCTCATCACGGTCTGCCTGAAAGAAGGTCTTTCGCCAGTTCTTCCGTCTCATGTACTAAGTTTAGTCGACTCCTACGACATGCATGTTTAAGAGGCAGTGATTTTATTGCCCCCCCCCCCCCACCCCCACACACAATGGGCCCAGGAACAAAAACGGAGAAATGATTGATTGGATTGATTGTGATGAAATATTAGGAACAACAAGGGCGATGACACATTAATATGTTGCGAAAGACGAAACCTGAGTGATTATGTCAAGTAATAGAAACAGCAAGATCTTCTCATTGTGGCGTTGGTTCACGTGTGTCCACAACCTTCTGTCTCGTGTTCTTTTAATCAACTTTGACACAGATGATCCTCCATGCCATGATGTCAAACTGTCCTGCATCTTTTCTCTTAGTCTCCCTCTGCATCTCATCCAGTCAAACTTTTCTACTGATCTGTGAGACATACATTACTTGTGAAGACGTCACCTGAATGACTGACTGATCGATTGACTGATTTATATGAAGAATGTACAAACAACAAACTACGAGACATGAATGGAGGCTGGAGGGTAGCTGCCACCGCGCATGCGTGCAGACGAACCATCTGAGAAGACTCCAGCACGTCGACGGTTTGTGGGACCCGGTTCTTGTCAACAACATCGCTTTATCTGACCCCACAGCCAGAGTTCTTCACACAATCACCCCCAACGACATCCACATGATGTCCAGGATATGTTCTGTCGTCAATTCTACCAGGTTTTGCCTGTAATTCCACCGTAAATGGCCGGTGTGGGCAGCGACGGAGAAGGCGAAAACATGACAGCCGACTTCTGTGAAAAACAAGCATCCAGTTCTGCCCAAAATTTCGTGCATAATTTCTTAGCTTTTGATCGGAATCACCCCGCCGTCGGTCGGACCAGGGATCCTTATGACTATGCTAAGAAGTTTACCGAGTTTTTTATGAGGTATTTCGATTATGAGATTCGGAGAACAGCGTTACATTCTTCCAGTAGCCAACACACGGAAGTCAATTCTTTGTTGTCAGAGCCCAGAGCTGTCGCAACTACTACAACTTCATCATCGTCATCAACAACAACTACCACCACCAGCACTCCAGAGTCCACTTCTCGGACAGGGGATACTCAGCAGTACAACGGTACTGACCACAATCATCATGCGGAGGATTACGAACATGACAGCAGCCCCGACCGAGGCAACAGCCCCACACGGAAACCAGGGAAAGGGATTTTGAGAAGATTCTCGTTTAAAAGTATTCGAAAATCAAAATTATTTAAGCAAGGAACCGAAGAAGGCGAACCTCCTTCGCCCAATCCTAGATCCAAACAAAAACTGAAAAAGGATGGGAAGAATCGGACATCCAGTATACAGCAGGATGTTCACAAAGAAGGAATTGTAAACGTTTTGACTGGGGAAGACGCCAAAGGAAAGTCCAGGTGGGAGAAGACCAAGCTGGTCCTGGTAAAAAATCAAAGTGGGTTCCAGATGGAATTTTACTCACCCCCAAAGGTAAGTAGATGTGTTTTTCGTTGTTGGGGGGGGGGGGGGGCGTTGTAGATTTAATAATAATACAGCATGACACTTACTTGTAACACATGGTTTTTTACAGGCTCTAAAGCACATTTTAAAATAAAAGAAGATGCTCTATCAATATTATTACATGCTAAAAAAAAAGACTTGCAATGAAAACAGCTGGAATGGAAAGTTAGAAGCAACAGCAAAATTTGTAATCTGTTTAAATCACCATTGATCACTGGCATCATGAGAGCTAATAGACTGAATGGTTGACGTCAGATGACAGAGAGGTTAAAAACTTTACACAAGAGAGTTAAATAATAGTATAGACCATGAGGCAGGATAAATAGACAAGGGAGAGATAATATCTAGAGAGACCTGCAAACACTTGATGTCAACAACTGGAAAGAGAAAGCCATCCAAAGAGATAAATGGAGGCGGGTGATGAACCTCAAGGGCTCTGAATATGGATGAAGTATAACATATACATACACGTAGTCAGTTTTTATATAAATAATGTTAGGGATTACGATTTAAAGGCCACACCCCCCCATTACTAACGTCTGGTGTGTAATTTGGAATATATAATGTTCATTGTATTTTCTGTGAAGGCTTTTGTTGTTCTATATATCATAAAATCTTTTCTTCAATGATTTATTTATTTTATATTATTACTAGAAATGACTGAAAGAAACAGTTTTTCTGGCCTTTTCTTCCAACTAGAACATAGACACTCCACCCATATTCTCATCTTTTGCCATCTCTTGCACCTCATTCCATGTTCCACCCATCTTCCCTGTGTGGGTTCTGAGGCCCCTGTGTGGGTTCCGGGGCCCAATTGTTGGGAAACAAAAATAGCCCACCTCCTCCCCAGTAAGCATTTTATAAGCATTGACTTGTGGGCTTCTTTGAAGTTGGAGTGCATCATCCTGAGAGGCTAGGAACCATTAGTCTGCATACAGATCAATCAGATCTGTAAAATGGATGTGCACTCAGGTTCTAGCACAAGACCAAAGAGGTGGACGAAAAGCCAGAACTTTAGGCTGGAGTTTATACAGAATGCGACGAAGAAACAGAATCTTAGTCACATGTCTGTAATTTTTTGTTTGTTTTATCCTTGTTTTGTTTTTTAAAATCCTGTTATTTCTTTGGCTCTGTGAGTTCCCGTACAAAGTCATTCTAGTTATATTATTATCCCAATGGGTGGTCTATCTTGCATCATGAATGGACATACATACTGTATGGATTAGTTACTGCTGTCTTTTTGGGGGCTGGATTCTGGGATGTCAGACTTTATGTATCCAGGGTGAATATGTCGGTCAAGAATTGCCTGAAGTTGAAAGCCGTGATGGAAAGTAGCGCCCAATTTTAAATCAAAAACAGCTCTCTTATTATACAGAATTGCCATAAAAAAATATTCAACAAAATTACCCAATAGAAATTCTAGAAGCACCATTATCACGAAGGACCACCAGATAAAGATTGCAGTTGTCTTCTTGGCGTTCACAGGCTGTAAACTCTGGCGGAAAGTTCTGGGTATTTGTCTACCCTCTGACTTAAGTCTTGTTCCTGAAGCTCAATGTTGCATGCACATCTGTTTTCCCTCCTCTGGCTTATTTCTGTGCAGATTCTTGATTCCTTGCCTCTCAGGCTGATGTGCTCAGACTTACAAGGATGCCCCTAGTCTGTTGACTCCAACACCATGCTTTTTGGGGAAGTGGGCCTTCTGCTTTGCGTTCACCAGCTTTTAAACTCTGGCAGAAAGATTTGGTTGTTGGTCCACTTAGGGGACTGCAGTCCTATTCCAGAACCTGAGTGTTGCGTGTGCATTGATTTGACAGGTCATCATCATCATCAGGTGCCTTGCCGACTGGCGTGGGCGATCATGCCTCTCCATAATCCGCGATCTCCTGCAGCATGTATCAGTTCGTGTGCCGACACACCTCCATGCCATGCAACAAGACTGTCAAGCATCTTCTCTCGTTGTCTTCCTCTATCCCTCCTTCCACAGATCTTTCCAGTGGTCACAGATGTTCCATTTTCCCTCTTCTCATAACATGGCCGAAAAATGATGACTGTCTCCTTCTGATGTCAGTGATAAGTTGTCTTCGGTCTCCCGCCTCTTTTAAAACCTCTTGGTTGCTCTTTTTGGCTGTCCAAGGTATTCTCAGCATTCTTCTGTAAAACCACATCTCTGAGGCCTCCAAAAATTGTTTGGCCTGCCTACCGATTGTCCAGGATTCACATCCATATGTTAAAACTGGATGTATGTAGCAAGCAAGAATTCTTTTTCTAACTCTCAATGACAAGGATATATTGCACAAGATGTTTGACAGGTGCATCTGTATAAAAACGGATATACACGCAACACTGAAGTTCTGGAACAAGCCTTAGAGTTGACTAATGACCATGATTTTCTGCAGACGTGTTTACTGCTGATGACCTCACTACTGAGAAGAAAATCAGCCATGGGGATGTTTAAATGAGGTTGGAAGAATTCAAGACAGCTATTGAGAAGATTAAGCTGGGGAAAGCAGCAGGACATGATTGTATAACACCAGAGATGGTCAAATATATGGCAGTCGTCGGTGAGCGACTTCTCCTAAAGGTTCTTCAGGCAGCCTTGTGTAGCAGAACTATACCAAAAGATTGGGAGATTGCTTTTATTGTACCTGAATTTAAAAAAGTGATAACGGAAAATGCGAAAACCACAGAGGCATATCCCTCCTCAACATTCCTGGTGAAAGTTACTCTAGAATTCTCTAGCAGAGACTTAGAATTCCGATATGCGAAAGCGTCAGCGATCAGCCGGTTGAAACCAGAACTTTGCAAGCAGAAACAGATCATGAATGTAGTCGAATTTGTGTTTCAGTTTCTATGATTCAGCTATTTGCTTCATTTTAATCACTTGTTACTGTAGTATGCACCTGACAAGATACAGCGAAATATGCCAGGCAATAAATTGTGCAGTCTATTGTTTGTGTCTTCTTTGTTCAAATTCACAACGGGGAAACACTGCTTTGAGAGACTTAGAAGTCTGGCAGAGCCAAAGCTGCATCAGGCCTAATGTGGCTTCAGAACAAATCGAAGTACTGAAGACCTTATCTTCATACTCAGACATATGAGTCAAAAAACCCTTGAATATAAGAGTGAGATGCACTTATGTTTTTTGGATTTAGAAAAGGCATTTGATAAGTTTTCCTGGAGCAAGCTCTGGGACTGCTTGGCAGGGAAAAACATCCCAGCACTCCTGATCAGTGCAATACAGAGTTACTACAAAAGCTGCAAAAATTATGTAAGAACAGCTGACAAAAAGTCTGAAGAATTTAAGACCAATTGCTGTGTTAGACAAGGTGATATTCTTTCCCCTTACCTCTTCTTTCTTATGATGGATGATGTCATCAAGACATCTAAGGAGAAGACACAGAAGTCCTCAGCAGGGTACTGGAAGATGAGACCAAACAGTATATCAGAGCTGGCATTTGCAGACGATGTGGCCCTGATAGCTAAATCATAGGCACACCTTCAATCCAACTTACTTGTTTGGAAGGAAGAGCTTGAGAAGAAAGCGATGACTAACAGTCTCTCCAAAACTAAAACAATGGTGATCTCAAGAGAGGTAAAGAAACACCAGATCATGATTGGACAGTATTGCACTGGAGCAGGTCAACCAGTTCAAATACCTTGGAGTTGTAATAGATCGAAACAGAGGCATTAAGACTGAGCTGGCTACATGAAAAGCAGCTGCTGGGAGACTCTTTCAGATCATAAACCGAGGGTTCTTAGCAAAAAAGAAATTGGCCAGAGGATGAAAATGTCTGTTTACCGCTCTACCTATATGCCAGTCCTGAACTACGAGTGTGGGTTATGGGCAATGACAATAGCTCGCTCACAGAAGCCAGCTTTAGGCCTCAGAAATGAGATATCTATGAAAGGTGGTCCAATTGACAAGAAGCAACAGTCCACAGTCAGACATTATGTCAGGACCTTGAAACCCAGGCTTTACAAACCCGAGTGGATCAGCCACAGTTACGATGGTTTGGACATGTATGCAGAATAAGATAAAATCAGCCACCATGGAAGGCTAGGGAACCAGACCTCCATGGTCAGCTGGCAAGACAACATCTGACAGCCCCTAACTGACAGAGGACTGGAATGGAACAAAGCCAGAAATAAAACTGCAGATAGAGAAGTCTGGCGACCTCTCTGACAAACCTCTACACCCCAAGGTCTGGCGACCTCTCTGACAAACCTCAAAACCCCAAGGTAGAAGAGGAGCGGCCAGGTCAGTAAGTTTACAGCTGGGGAACACTAAGAAGAAGACATGTTTATGTTTGTTTCAAGAGATGATAAATATTTGGTAAATGTACATTTCAGTCTGTGAAACCCAGGACAGGCCTGTTTTGTTTCCTCATCAGCGAAGTTCGGGAGACCACAGCCCTGGAGATGCCGGACAGAGAGAACACTTTTGTCATCAAGGTACAAACTTACTCATGCTATGAGTTTGTCATGTGGCTTTCATTATCATCAGCCCTTTTAGACTTATGCAGGAGTTATTGAACTACGCTTCTTCTCCTTCTCCTTCTCCTCCCCCTTCCTCTCCGCCTCTTCTTCTTGCAGTTGCTTTAACCCAGTCATCTGGATAAGACTAAATCTAGTCACTTCTGGTTGTGGCACGGTGTTGTAAATGCTGATGTATCGCCATGTCTGTTGTGACCTGTTCTCGAAAACCTTAGTTAGATTCCGTTGGTTCTGATGTACACCTGCGCAGGATGTAAATAAAATAACTAAATGTAGCATGTAGGGTGGTTTCCTTATGACTCCAGTGACTTTTAAAAAGCCAAGTTGCTGTCACATTTTCCCGTCAGCTTCAGTGATGGAGGCCACCAGATTGCAGCATGAGAACCCGATACAGTTGTGTGTGTGTGTGTGTGTGTTAAGGTCTGGGGGAATGTATTCCATTGAATGCTTTACTCTTTTCATGTCTATCGACCCCTTTTATGTATATTATATGGGTTATGGGGCTGCAGTTTTTGAGAGCAATTGACTAGCTGCCCCCCCCCCCCCCCCCCACCTGTAGGCGAATAATTAGAGGTGTTTCCTTCAGAATTAAAGTGTATCTGCCTGAGAGGCAAAGAACCAAAAGTCTGCATAAGTCTGCATACAAAAAAGCCATATCTGTAAAACTGTTTTGCAAATTTCAAGTTTTGGCACAAGACCAAAGTAGACAACCTACCTTAATTTTTGCCAGAGTTGCAGTCAGTAAACATGAAAGTGAAGGTGATTTAGAAGAAGAAGAGGTGATTTAGAAGAAGAAGGTGATTTAAATGTTCGCAAATATGTATGTTTTTCTTGTGGCAGGGAGATGGCACAATAGAGTATGTGGTTGAAGCTCAGGACCCGGCAGACCTGCGAGCTTGGCTGACAGAAATCCGCAGATGCATCCAGCAAAACAACTGTGCTGCTACTGCTGAAGGAATTGCGGCAATGTGAGTTGCTGCTTCTCTTGCTTACTTGATGAAAACATAACAGACAGTTTGACCAAGTTCAACCCTGCTGAAAATATCTTTGGTTATAAATGTGGTCTGGTTTTATTTTTGCCAGGAGTTGTGGCCTATTGTCCCTAGCTGTGTGTAACTCTTAATTTGTCTGGGTCCTCTTTTTTGGCTCTGTGATCCAGATGTTTCTCTTGTTGCTGTCTCTTCTTCTTCCTGTTATCTCCCAGTGGAGCATAGGCTCTCCCCTAACTTCTTCTTCGTGTTCACCAGCTGTACACTCTGGCGGAAAGTTCTGGTTGCTCGTCCACTACTGAACTGCAGTCCTGCTCCAGAACCTGAGTGTTGCGTGTGCATCAGTTTTACAGATCTCATTCTCTTCAATATAGACTGTTGGTTCCTTGCCTTTCCGGCAGATGCACTCCGACTTCAAAGGAAGCTCCCCAATTAGTCGACTCTTACGGCATGCTTTTGGGGAGGCCCCGGAACCCACACGGGGGGCTCTCCCCTAACTATTCTCATCCTCTTATCCTTTGCTATCTACTGCTACTTCTTTATTGTCCTTTTCTTGTTACTCATCTGAGTCTCTCATTCTCTTTGCGTGTTTTTTGGTCCCCTTGTTTCTTTTGCCGTGTGGGTTCCAATAGTAAGGACTTTCTACTTATGTTAACAGGTTCCCTTGATGTTCCCAACTTTATTTAACTGGTCTGTATATAAAGTTCTTTCAGAAAAATTCTTGCCATATTATGCAGAGACCATGTCACGAATGATCATGTTTACCAGCACATTGGCAGCTATGAACCTCTTTTAAATACAGTGAATAGATGGGGGGAAAAAAGCAGTGGTTTGGACTTGTAATAATATAAAACGGCCTCTCAAAAACAATACTACAGGACTTTAAAAGTCACTGGAGTCATAAGGAAACCACCCTACATGCTACATTTAGTTATTTTATTTACATCCTGCGCAGGTGTACATCAGAACCAACGGAATCTAACTAAGGTTTTCGAGAACAGGTCACAACAGACATAGAGATACATCAGCATTTACAAGGAGAAGAGGCAGACCAAGAAAGACCTGTATACAAAACTTGACCGACTGGACAGATCTTAGGCAGAAATTATCTTCTTCTTCTTGTTCACCAGCTGTAAACTCTGGTGGAAAGTTCTGGTTGTTCAACCACTTTTGGGCTGCAGTCCTATTCCAGAACCTGAGTGTTGCGTGTGCATCCATTTGACAGATCTGACAAATTTGTATGCAGACTGTTGGTTCCTTGCAACTCAGGCAGATGCACTCCGACTTTAAAGGAAGCTCCCAGTTAGTTGACTCTTACGACATGCTTTTGGGTAGGCAGTGGGTCTATTCTTGTTTTCCCCCTATAATAGGGCCCTGGAACCCACACAGGGGGCATGAAACTGTGAAGTCGCCTGCATGTGACCCCCAGATATGGAAGGAGCTGATCAGACTGTCGACAGCAGCTGCTTATGGGATGATGATGATGATCTATAAAGCTATTGTGAAAGATTTGAGCGTTAGAGAAAACTGGTCTGGAAACTGAAATACCTGAAATACTTTGGCTGTATCAAAGCAGCAACAATGAAGTTCATCTTTGTTTAAATACTCGCTAATTACCAGCATCATGATGACCAGTAGACTAGTGATTGGGGCTTATGGAGAGAGTGGCAGAAACTGGGTAAAGAAAACAGGAATGGGAGTTGAGCACAAGTCAGACCAGGAAGACGATGGAAAGATAATTAACAGGAGGACCTACTTACACACAAACATAAACACTTACTGGCAATTCAGATATTTTAGCCACTTAGAGTCACTTCTAAAAATCATACTGGAGGGAAAGGTTGACGGCAAGAGAGCAAGAGGATGACACTAATACAAGTGGGAAGACATCAAGAGATGGATGAACAGCAGTCTGAGAGAGTGTAAAGCCAAGACAAAAGACGGAGCATGTTGGAGATCCATTGCAGCTCACCTTCAATGTGTGGACGATAACTGATTGATTGAAGCCTACAGACGCTAAGAGTCATCAGGTCATCAACTGGAAAGAAAGGCCAGGTCACAGATAGACGGTAACTGATTGATTGAAGCCTGCAGACGCTAGGAGTCATCAACTGGAAAGAAAGGCCAGGTCACAGATAGATTGTAACTGATTGATTGAAGCCTGCAGACACTAGGAGTCATCAGGTCATCAACTGGAAAGAAAGGCCAGGTCACAGATAGATTGTAACTGATTGATTGAAGCCTGCAGACACTAGGAGTCATCAGGTCATCAACTGGAAAGAAAGGCCAATTCACAGATAGACGGTAACTGATTGATTGAAGCCTACAGACACTTGGAGTCATCAGATCATCAACTGGAAAGAAAAGCCAGGTCACAGATAGACGATAACTGATTGATTGAAACCTACAAACACTAGGAGTCTGATTGAAATCTACAAACACTAGGAGTCATCAGGTCATCAACTGGATAGAAAGGCCAGGTCAGAGATAGACGATAACTGATTGATTGAAACCTACAAACACTTGAAGTCATCAGGTCATCAACAGGATAGAAAGACCAAGTCACAGAGGTGAATGGAGTTGGGCAAAATTTGCAGCAGTGAACCTCAGGGACTGCTAGGAATGCTGACGCAGGAGTATGATTGATTGCTGTGTTTGTGAACTGTTAGATCACAGAGAGACAAAAACTATTATACACAAAAAAAAGATTGAATTCTTGTAGACTTGTAGTCACAAGTCAGACCAAGAGGATGATGGAGGAAGTCCTACAGACACTTGAAATCACCAACTGGAAAGAGAACGAATTTTGGTGGGTGATATCTGTAACATTGAACCTCAGGGGATGCTGGGAATGCTGAAGAAGATGTATTGATTTCTATGTTTGTGACGTGTTAGAGGTATTAAAGTTACAGATCAGTTTATTTATTTGGGTAGTAACTTTGATAGTGAAGGTAATACAAAGAAAGAAATTCTGACACATATTGGCAAGGCATCAGCAGAGTTTAAAACCCAGTTACATATTTTCAACTCTAATGTTATAACAGTTTTAACAAATGCCAGTAAAATTTGAGGTTTGAACAACGGACCAAAATCATAACACACGGGTAGTAACCCATAAGTGCTCCGTTCTTCTTCTAACTCACGTTTAAGTCTAAAGAAGCTCAGCACAGTGCACAAGCTCTGTAGCACCGGCAAGGATCCTGAAATACTTTGTCTAGATTTTTAACTCAAAATTTTGCCTGGGCAGTGCTGTAAGGCTACTCTTTTTGATTTCCAACTGCCAAGGGATTTTTGTATGTGCACAACAATGCACACGGGCCTCCTATCTCACTACCCAGAGACCAGGGGGAATTACTAGAAGTCAAAGAAGACGTAAGAAACTCCCAGCCCTTACTGGAGATTGAACCTGGCACCTCTAGCACTTGAGGCGGACATCATGCTTCGAGACCACGCAGCCTCTCTTAGTAAAAGTTGAAAAAAAACACTAAAGACATGGAACAGAAGTTGAATGCAAGAGAAAACAAACAACTGAGAAAAAAATGATAGAATAAAATTGGATGAATTTAAAAGGACTGAAGAAAGAAGAGAAATGTCTGGGAAACCACTAGTATTGACATTTATAAGACAGATAAGATGGCGCTATATTGGATCAGCCCCCAAGAAGAAACCAGCAGAGAATTACCAAACAGGCACACAAATGGGAAATAAAGAGATTAAAGAGGTGAGGATGCCCAAAAGAAACTCTTAAGATCAGTCCCTGTGGCTGTTGATGTATTCAGTCACAGACAGCTGGGTTTGTGGGCAAGTATCCTAACCACCCTGCCACCTAACATAGTGGCTGAGTGGTAAAATACACATCCTGTGATATGACTACCCGGCTTCACTTCCAAAGTTATCTTGAGTTTTTAACATTCAGTAATATAATTTGCAAGCTTATATCTGTGAAAAATCTGTATACATATTTTTGTTTGGTGGTGTATAGGAGGCCAAGGCTACCCACAGCTCCATCTGGATCTATAGAAAGAAAAGGTGAGGTTTCCTAAGCATTCATTTTGTAAAGAATTAGGCTACAGGAACACTGGTACTGGTCGAGGGAGATATTCTGAAGAACATATATGAACGACTAGTGACAGATGACACGTTATTAGATGAAATAACTTGTGCAAGAGTGTGTGAATGAGAAATTTAGTGTGGATCCAGCAAGGAAAGACATTTGAGAGGAAGAGAACAATGTGTGTATGTCCAGTGTGCTACGGGAACAGTTAGCATCTACACCTTAAGACATTTGCTACGGGAAACGGAGCATCTATGGGTATGCCCGGTGTGCTGTGATGTTGATTCTTAAATCAGTTCTCCTTTAAACTACGGCCACTTTTTATGGAGTACGCCGGAGTTTAGTCCTCTGGCCGCATTGCAATTACGGAGTGGAAAGAGGGAACGAAACAAATTACGTAATTACTGTGTGTTGGTGATAGATGCACTGCTGTCATAATAGGGGTAGGGTTAGGAGTGGCCGTAGTTTTAAGGAGTACCAATACCCTAACCCAAACCCTAACCCTATTATGATAGCAGTGCATCTATCGCCAATACACAGTAATAACCTCATCGGTTCACGCTGTCTATTGCTAACACACAGTAATTACGTCATTTGTGTCGTTCCCTCTTGTCCACTCCATAATTGCAATGCGGCCAGGGGACTGAACTCCGTCGTGCTCCATAATAAGTGGCCCTAGTTTTAAGGAGAACCCTTAAATCTGTAAATCATAAAGAATTGTTGTTCCTTGGTCAAGTCAGTTCTAGTTCATTTATTCAAGTTGTTTTTTTTAAAAATCTGCTTTCCTGGTTCCCCTTTTATTATCTTTTACCTTGTTGCTCGACAGAACAAAAATTCTCAACCTTGCCGAGGATTTGAACCTGGATCTGCCTCATGAGAGTGCTGCATTAGTCATTTGGCGAGCCACTCTTCATACTAAATTAGTTCATTGTGACACCACAGATTGTGTCTATTCACATATACCCACTCAACAGACACTCATATGTACCCACATACACACATATCCTCATATACATTCACTCACGCTTTCACACTTACTCCCTCATCCAGCATCATATATCATGAGTCTGTTTTAAAGATAGCGTAGACTCATGTTTTTTTTTTTTAATTTTAATTTTCAACTGAGAGCACTTGATCCGAAATTGAGTAGACCTAATTGAATAGATGCGATCCCTAATTGAGTACGCACGATCCTTCATTGAGTATATTATTTCTGAATGTATATTATCCCTCATTGAGTACCAGTAATCACTAATTATGTATATGTGATGCCTTATTATGTATGCTCTCTAATTGAGTAAATGTGATCACTAATTCTGTATGTTTGATCCCATATTGAATATATGTGATCTCATTGATTATATGTGATCCTTAATTGAGTAAATGTGATCACTGATTGTTTATGTGTGATTCCATATTGAATATATGTGATCCCTAATTTTGTAAATGTGTGATCTCTATTTCAGTAAATGTAATCACTACTTGTGTATGTGTGATCCCTAATTAGGTAAATATTGTGATCTTTAAATTAGTACACCTGATCTCTAATTGAGTAAATGTGATCAATACTTGTGTATGTTTGATCCCTAATTAGGTAAATATTGTGATCTTTAACTTAGTACACCTGATCTCTAATTTTGTAAATGTGATCACTACTTGTGTATGTGTGATCCCTAATTAGGTAAACATGTGATCTTTAACTTAGTACACCTGATCTCTAATTGAGTACATGTGATCCCTAATTCAGTACACTTGATCCCTTATTGGGTACATGTGATCCTTAATTCAGTACACCTGATCCCTAATCTAGAACTTGTTGCTTTTTCAGACTCTGGACAGCTGACCCCTCAACAACGAAGTTCCTCCCAGGGTAGCCTAGGCAGTGGCACTCCTGCGGTTCCATCTCTTCCTTCTCCCCGACCCTGGAGTATGATCCACGTGGACCATAACAGTCCCCCTCATGTGCAGAACATCATTGCTGGGGAGCTGCGGGGCTCGCCCAGGGCGGACAGCCTACTTGGTAAGGGCTGTAGCTGCTTCAGTCAGGTGTCTTCTCCTCAGTCACATATGCCAGTTTGTCAACATATTTATATTTGTTGTGGGAATGAATACGTTTATAATTGATGCTGAGTATGTGAACTTATTTATGTTTGTTGCTGAGAATGTGAATACATTTGTAAAGGAGTGGCTGGCCAAAGGATTAGAATGCTTGGCTCTCATGTAAGTTTATCCATCACAAGTGATGAAGACCACCTTGGAACTAAACTTATTTGGATGAAATCCACCTGTGCACTGACTTAGTTTCAAGTGAGGAAAAAATGTGGCAGTGCGTTGACCCCATTCTCTCGCCGAGGTCCATTCTGATCCAGTGGCAGGACAGCGCAAATGGACTAGGGTGCAGTGGATGACCAAGTCGTTTGAAGTGCTCTGCTTTTTTGTCCATTGAACCATAAGTGGTTCCATCCGCAGAGTCCACCGGATCCAGTTTTTACATGCAGGGTGGGCACGCTCTAACTCACCGGTTGGTATTAACCAGGTTGGCTACTCTCTCCTGTCAAAGCCGTTTGTGAACCAGAATGCTAGCGGAACAGTCAGACTTGTGTAGAGTCATAATCACATTGAGGTCGGAGTGGCCAGCTGATGTTAAGGAGGTGGAAATTCAGCAATTAATTAGAAATAATGCTCGCTCGGGTGATTTGATTATTTATACAGATGGTTTATTGTCAAGAGGCAACAGAAGTGCCCTGGGGTTCTTAGCAAAAGCTAATGGTTGACATTTGGTGCAGAAGAGCCTGGCATACGATATCACAACATCCAACTTATTTCAGTCCTATAAATAAACAGAGGGGGGAACCATTTGAGGCCGTTAAATATTATGAATTAATCAAGTAACAGAAAGTATTGTGAACGGCACTCATAGAAAGAAGTAGAAAGATAGATGAACACACAGGCAGATGTACTCCAATGTGAAGAAAGCCAGTTAGTCGACTACCATGACATGCTTGCTGGTGAGCCAGTTGGCCTGTTCTTGTTTTCCCTACATTGGAGCCCTGGAACTCACACGGGGAAGTCCATTAATAGATGAGCAACCAGAACATTCCCCTAAAGTTTACAGATAATGAAAGTGAAGAAGAAAATCTCCAGAATCCTTGTCTTTCACGCTGTTCATTCTGATCAACTGTTGTTTATCCATACCTTGATGATTTGATGCTATCTTCTAAACCGTAGCTGTGTATCTCCGTAGTAAAAGTTGGCTGTATTAAATTTCCAACAATCCCTGTTTACACCGGTAGCTTACACGCTCTGATCGAATTTTAAAAAAGGTAATATCTTTCGACGTACCGTAATGTCATCACTGCAGTTAAGGTCACCTGTATTGGGTCTTAAATTCCCAGAAGTCAAAACCTTCATTAAGAGAAAATCAGAAACAGATTAGAAAACTAACACAGGTTATAACCAGGAAAAAGATTTCCTTACACACTGTACACTGCAGACTCAACAAACACTCATATAAATTAAGTATGAGCCAGATAGCTCTCTGCCAGTGTCTTCATGCTGAACAAACACCAGAACATGTCCTGCAAGACTGTCCTCTCTTGGAGGAGCTGCGTAGCAACATGTGGCCACACCCAGTAGACCTGAGAACTAAGCTTTGGGGAAACTTGAAGAGACCTTGAGTTGACATCTCAGTTTATGGCCCAAGTGCTTGAGTTTTGGCATGCACATCTCTTTAATACAGCTGGTTTATTTATATGCAGACTGTTGGTTCCTTCTCGTTTTCAGGCGGATACACTCTAATATAGAAGGGGACACGTCTGATTAGTCCCTTCTGTGACATGCATTGGGTCCGTGTTTTAAAAAAAAATTTTTTTTACACCTAAATTAAAATCGTTTTGGCTTTGGAACCGGCACAGGGAAAGTCTGCATACAAATAAGCCAGATCCGTTGGACAGATGTGGATGAACAACCAGAAATTTATACTGGGGTTTACTTCAGCTGAACACAAAAGATAAAGAAGAAATTCCTGTGTCCACAGATTAGGATAAGTGGACCATGTGTGGAACCACTAATTTTAATGACTTCATTTTACTGATTTCCACAGATCAGGGCAGTCACGCCGAGAACCAGGAAAGTGAGGGTGGGATTGACCGCATTCTGCGGGAGTACCCTTGGTTTCACGGGACGTTGTCTCGAGCTGAGGCTGCCCAGCTGGTCTTGCAGCAAGGTCCTTCCGGACACGGGGTGTTCTTGGTGCGCAAGAGCGAGACTCGGGCTGGAGAATATGTACTCACTTTTAATTTTCAAGGTCGAGCAAAGGTGAGAATTAATGTTTATATTGTGTGTGTGTGTATACATATTAAAAGATACTGGTTTTGGATAGGGTACATGCTGAGAACAGTATGACTAGAATGTCTTTACACTGGAACTCACTGGAGCTTAGAAATACAGACAGACCTGTAGAAACATGGAGAAGGATCTAGGTGGTGAAGTTCAAAATGGGAAGGCACAGGAGCTTAGAAATACAGACAGACCCGTAGACACATGGAGAAGGATCTAGGTGGTGAAGTTCAAAATAGGAAGGACATTAAGTAAGCTGTGTGCGTTACCAAAGGATAGAGGACTTGTTCTGTGTTGGGTCAGTGAGAGTTAATGCTCCATTGTATCCTCCATGTTAGTTCTGATTCATAACATGACTCAAAAATGATGATTGTCTCTTTCTGGGTTGCTCTTCTTAGCTGCGCAAGATGTTTTAAGGATTCTTCTGTAAAACCACATCTCCAAGGCCTCGAGATAGTGTTTGGCCTGTTTATTGTCCAGGATTGGCAGCCGTTTGTGAAAACTGGCTCAGTAATGACATGGCTGATTTATTTATAAAAGGCAGTTTTTTTTTGGGGGGGGGGGGGGCTGCTTGGTCTTGAGGCATGTTGTCCGCCTCGTGCACTAGAGGTCCCGGGTTCAAGCCCCGATGAAGGCTAGAATTTTTTCCACGTGGAGTTCTAGTCATTTCCCCTGGTCTCTGTGTGATGAGATCGATGCCCTTGTGTATAGTTGCGCATGTAATAAAAGTCTTTGGCAGTTGGAAATCAAAAAGAGTAGCCTAACAGCGCTACCCGAGCAAAATTTGGAGTTTATAATCTACCTCAAATATTTCAGGTTCCCTGCCGGTGCAACGGAGCCTGTGCACTGCACTGAGCTACTTCGGACTCAGACTCGAGTTAGAAGTAGAACGGAGCACTTATCGGTTACTACCCGTGTGACATGATGTCTATCCATTCTTCAAACTTAAACCGGCAGTTGTGGCCTGTCCTGTTTTGTTCTTTATGAAATAAATTGTAAAATAGTTCAAATAGATTTAAATTTGTTTCTGACCCATGTATTGCCTTATTTCCCCAGCACCTGAGAATGACAATCAGTAACGAAGCCAGGTGTCGGGTCCAGCATCTGTGGTTTGAGACCATCTTTGACATGCTGGAGCATTTCCGAACCCACCCCATTCCTCTGGAGTCCGGCGGCACGTCAGATGTGACACTGAGTGACTTTGTTGTTGCCATTGAGAGACCGTGGACCTCCGGTACTTCCCACGGGTCACCCAGGGCAAGAAGTGGCTCGGCTACTCACCACGGCCACGGACAGTTGGCCACTTCAGCCTACGAAGGAGGTAGGGATGTTATGGTTGTCAGTGGGTCAGTGCGGGCTCGAACCTCCTCCATTGAGAACTTGATACGAGAACAGACACACGCTCAGAATGTGCTTGGCCGTGCTGTAGAAAATCATTATTCATTTGTGTGAGGTAGCATTTGTTTTCCTGGCCATGCTACGAGAAGAGGGAAACTGGAGCATGTTGTGTCCACTAATTTATAGAAAGAGTGACATTAATGAGCTACTTTGAATCGGAATGATAGAAGCCATTGGTGCCCGTCAAGCAGTGGATCGCAAACTGTTCCTCTCCGCAGTGCTTAGTGCAGAAGTGGAATTAGATGATGATGAAGATAACAAGTGACAGAGGAAGAAGACTGGCATAGTTTGGTTGTAGGCTTATATGTGACCAGACTGTGATAAGAAGTGCCTGGCCACTTCTTGCAGTCCGTCTCTGTTTATTACGCTTGCACAGCCTTTAAATAATGCACTGATGATTCTGGCCAGTTTGGATCTCATTAAAAAAAGCTAGTTATCGTTGCCATTTGTAACGTACACCTGGCGTTATGAAAATGGTAACTGTCAAGGTGAGAGAAGACACCTGCCAAGGTCAAAAGCAGGGATACCAACTTGAAGGATTATTCAGAATTATGGATACACTTTCTTTCATGAATATTTCCTTGAAAATACATTAAATATGAATAATATACATACAAGAATGACGGGAAGGTCTAAAGTTTTGAAAACTATAGCTTTTTGGATTCTGTGGACCTCCAGATTCAAATCACAACTGCAGTGAACTCAGTTTCGCATCGCAAGAGATGCTTCTTCCTCTGTGGAATGAGTTTGACTACCACTTAGATGTTTGCCGAGCGGTAGATGGCGGCCATGTTGAACATCTATAACCTTCATAAACGTTAGACCTTTCCCTCTCTCTTGTAGGTATATTATTAATATGTAATATTTATTCAAAGAAATATGCTTGAATGAAAGTGTGTCCATAATTTTGAATAACCTTGCATGTTTATAGGCTAAAAATGGCACCCAGTAGGTGATGTGGTCCTAACAGGCCAGATGCCTTTACTTGCCAAGTCGTTGATCTGTTGGTACCAATTTTCGGCGTGCCGTTAAAAGGTGCGGTTTCTTAGCCAGGGTCTTGGGTGACATGTGATGTTTGCCATTCAATATCATTTATGTGACATTGGAAATCCAGTGTCAGTGGGATGACATTCAGTGAGGTGACATTTGATGTATTTGCTGTCCAATTGTCAGGAGACATTTGACATTCAGTATCGGTGAAGCGGCATTTTTCAGAGAGTGTCAGATAGGTGACATTTGAAATCCATTATCAGTTAGATGACAAATGCCATTCACTGTCATTGATGCCATTCATTGTCAATGAATTGACATTTGCCGTTTAATGTCAACGAGGTAACATTTGCCATCAGTTGTCAGTGAGGTGACATTTGTCATTCGGTGTCAGTGAGGTAACATTTGCTATTTGTTGCAGTGAGGTGATATTTGTCTTCAGTATCAGTGAGGTGACATTTGCTGTTCATTGTCAGTAAAGTGACATTTGCCATATGATCTTAGTGAGGTGACATTTGTCTTCAGTATCAGTGAATTGACATTTGTCTTCAGTATCAGTGAGGTGACATTTGCTGTTCATTGTCAATGAAGTGACATTTGCCGTTCGGCGTCAGTGAGGTGTCATTTGACATGCATTTATTGTTTTATACGTCAGAATACTGCCTGTAAATCTTGCCATTGCTTTAATGGTGAACTTTGATTGTATCCATCCGTGTTTCTGTAATTTTGTCTGTTGTGTTACATGTGTGAAAGGACATATAACTCCTCAAGTCTGGAACAGGGGCTCTCTATCCTGTGGAAAGCCAGTGTCCTTGCCTTTTTTCGTTGTTGTTGATTTTTTTGGTTTTTAAATTGAAAAATGTTTTGTGTAGTGACCTTATTTTTAAAATGTAGGGTGTAATTCTGTTGTATATGTGGGCTGGAAAGAAAAGTATTCTTGTTGATATTTCCACGTTGTGTTGTGGTTGACAGCTAGACTGTGATATTTGCGCCTTTCGGTCCAGCACATCCAATTTAATTAAATCTTTACTTAATTGCCTTTTATTACATGCTTGTCAGAGCAATGGGATTGTCTCCCCCCCCCCCCCCCCCCCTCCCAGGACCTCAGAGCACAACAGCGGAGGAACTGACTTAAAGGGATCGCTGGCTTTAGGGGGGTCGTTGGCCTAGTATGAGCCGAGATTGAATAATTGTCCTTGTGTTTATGACTACCTCCCGGATGGGAGGATGGTCCTGCAGCACCGTGTAGCCCAGTAATTCCCAAACTGTCCCCCCCCCCCCCCCCCCCCCCCCCGGAGCTGCGACCTCTTCTTCGCTGCGAAATATTCAAAGATACACGTTTTCAAACAAAATTATCTCCTACATATGAATAGTCATACTTTTACTAAGGTTAAGGCGCAGTGGACAAATTGTAATTGAAAAAAGGGAGCCGCAACTAAGAAAGGTTTGAGAAACACTGATGTAGCCCATGAGTTAGCTATTTTTGGCTTGTCAAACCGGGCGGCTTTGTGTCTCCAATTTGTGCTACTGTTTGTTGACTTCTTTTGTTCTGAGATTGTTCTCAGCAATAGGATTATTTGTTCTCTTTTGTCTTTCAGATTGACACCGGCAAGAGCATTTTTGAGCCTGTTGAGATTCTTAACTTTTAAGAATAGGAGGAACTAAATAGTTTGACAGTAGTACTTGTGCCGAGGTTAGGAAGAGAACAAGACAGTGGACATAAATAAGCTGTTGAGGAAACAATACAGGCACTAGATAGTCAACACATTGAAAAAACATGGTATTGGTGTTACTAGAATGTCAGTGCTATGGAACCAACAGGTCAAAAAAAAAAGAGGGAGATCTGAAAACACATTAGAGAACTAAATTAAAGACATAGATGAATACATGTATGGGAAGGATATTGATTGGGATACAGGAAAGGGTAAAGGGTAGGAGAGCTTGAGTGAAGGCTTTAAGTCCAAAATGAGATAAAGGATAGGAGAAGAACAAAGAAGACACAATCAGCATATTGTGGAATTTATTGCTGGGCGTATTTCCCTGTTTCTTCTCAGATGCATACCACAGCAAAAATGAATCACCTAAATTAGTCCTAATGAATACAAAAAGGAACTATACTCAAAAGAAACTGTTTTACTCGGGTTCCATTCAGTTTCGAACCCATGACCTTCAGAACTGCAGTCGAGCATCTGGTTACTACACGGTGGCGGCTCCCTGGTGTTACAAAGAGCATTTGAAATGTATCGCTTTTGTGAACAGTATGGCCAGAGTTCAAAAAGTGATGGACTCGACAGTTTATTTAGTTACATCACTATGTTCAGTTGTTAGTTAGTAATCACCTGTCGAGATAAAGCAAAATATACAAGGCAGTATATTGTAAAATCTGTCGTTTGTGTCAGCTTTGTTCAGATTTTCAACAGCAAAACATTGCTACAGTGTCTTGTTTTGGGGTTGAGTCAGCAATGCCATCCCTTGTTGCGGTGGACAGGACAGTAACCAATGTTTCCGCCGCCTTTTTTCCCACCAAATTCTTTTTGGGTCTTGTAATGCTGTATATATATGTTATGTTGGCACCTTCCCAACTTTTCAGACCAGTGGTACTCAACCTTCATAATGCCGAGACCCTTTAATACAGTTCCTCATGTTGTGGTGACTCCAACAATCAGTTATTTTCGTTTGCTACTTTATAACTTCAGTGAATATGTGTTTTCCTATGGTCTTAGGCGGCCCCTGTGAAATGCTCACTCAACCCCCAAAGGGTTCGCGACCCACAGGTTGAGAACCATTGTTCCAGAGGATAATGTTATATTGTGTTCCGAGGTGGCATAGGACTCACAGCCTATGGTGATGATTAGGGCCAGGGCTGAAGTTCCTCCTGTCTGCAGTTCAGAGCCTGGGCTACTGTAGAGACCATATGCTACCTATGCATCATGATCCGTCTCTCAGGCCTGCCTTGTTTACTCCAAACGAAAGGTAACACCAATACGTTTGGAACAAAGTATGTTGCAGAAGCTGCCAGATCAGAAGAGCAGTGCTCTGTCTGCCTGTATATCCATTAATAATTGTTGTGATATTGTTTTATTTTGCATTAATATGTATTTGTATTTTTGTCGCATCCAGCTGTCCTCGTACATTGTCCCTAGTCACATTTTGTATGTGTGTCGTTTATGTGCAGGATATGGCATTATCAGACACATGACAGAATGAATGCAGAAACTTATTTGTTGTTGTTGTAAATCTTGCATTTGAATACACTCAAACCTTGTTTTAATGGACTTCTTTTGCGTTTGCTGTTAAAAGAGCAGTTGGTGCGTTGTGTTGCAGTTCACAGCTAGGCTGTGATATCTGTTCCACATCCGATTACAGCAGTTATAACTGCTACTATTACTGCCAGTAATTACTACTTATGTCGTGTGGGCAGGGCAGGTCTTTGAGGATTTAGGGATGTATGGCTAGTGCTGTCGCCAGGGACTGTGCAGTGTAGGATTTTATTTTTGCCCCCCCCCCCCCACCCAAAAGAGAGAAAAAAATCCCCAAGATTTGAATCTGCATGATTTCAACGAACTCATAATTAGTTATATTTTACGACATATTTGTTATGGGTTAGGGGATCTCTCCCCAACCACTCTCTCTTTACAGCTGGGTCTCTATAACCCATACTGGATGTTTTTAATGGACAGAGGGCAGGAGTATGTGTCTAATTTTGCAGATTGTCTTTAGTTACTGAAATGGGAAATCTGTTGTGGGTAATGTCTACAATTAATGAAAAGAAGAGGAGTAACACACTTAATCAGGCTAATTGAAGGCCAGCTTGGTAGCAGCAGCTGTTTAGTTTTGCTGGAACTGTTTCCAGACTTCTTCAGCGATCCGAGACCTTGAGGTTCATTCCTGTAGACATCCCCGACCTCCAATCATCTCTATTATTGGTTCTCT